AAAGGGTAGCCATGTAGGTATCCTATGTAAGGCTTAAGTCCTGGTGTAATAGAGAAATCACCATTATCATCCCTTACAAAGAAGATTTTTAAATAAAATGATTCTAATAGCACCAGGTAGATATTTGAGCTCTCGCCTTTGCACTTGACCTTTGTAGCTACTTAACTCTGGCATCTTTGGAGATCTAGTCTATGCAGTCCATGTCTATAAAAACAGAAACAAAGAAAAAGCCATTCATATGTATAGTAGGTGCGCCCATGCCTAAACATACATGTATACACGCACAGCACAGGCCCCAGAGCTGCTGATTTTGTAAATCTTAGAGCACATGTCTGCTCATGTGGGAAAATCAACTGACTTGAAAGCAGAGTAGGTTTATCTCTAACAAGGGTGATGCATCTGTGCCTCCCTTGGTAGCAAACACAAAATCTTCACGCCATTGCTGTTCTTTTCTCCGCCGGCCCTTGGAAACACCAGGTTCATTTGTGTGAGAAAGGAAGCAGCTCACTTTTGCCACGTGGCTCAATCAGCTTCTCTCAATGAACTTCGTTTGCATCCTCGTGGGTCCTTATAACATAACCATGATTCTAGCATGATACGCTGTCCGTTGAACAGCGTCAGCTTTTCGGTGGCACAGAGAAACTGCCGTCCTCAAACAGTGAGCGGCGGAGTCAGTGCCACGATGAACTGATGTTAACAGACACCCTGACGCCTGGCGAGGTTCTCTCTCTGTTTCAGGGAAGCGGCCAGGAAGCAAACGCCTCGCAGGGGTTAAACCAAACGGTTGCACCGCAGCCTATTTCTGTCAACACTCCGTTCAGGAAATAAACATTTATGCTTTCTGAAATGAAAGTGTAGTTTCGAAGACAAGCCGTCAGATATTTTTGTGCCCTTCACACTTTCAACTGCTTAGCCTTTTTTTTTTTGTAAGTTGACTGCAAAGTGCATCCGTTTGCCAGGCTAAGGAAAAAAAAAGAAAGTACGTGACAAGTGCCCAGGGCATCGCTGTCATCCTCCGAGGTGTCCAGGAGACGGAGGCAAAAGGGTTGGCACAGAACATACTTTCTTCAAGCCTCTTACTTCAGGGGTACCTGCCTCTTGAGCACCTTTTCAATCCTCCCAAATGATGTTATTCCCAACCGTCACCTGCTGTATTTGGAGCACACCGTATTGCAGATAAACACGCTATTTAACTTCAGGTCAAGGTAGAGTCATTCTGCCAGCAAAATGCCCGAGATACATTAAATGGCAAGACTCCAGGACAGAGATGAAGGGAGATCAGAGTTGTCAGTGACATTCACGGAAGGGGCTGCAGCAGGGAAAGGAATAAAATGTGCCCATGGTATCAGTGTATTTTAAAAAGCTGTAATACAGCTGAACATTTAAAACTATAACTTGTCACACACCGAAGATTAAGATTCCGGCAGGTACAGAATGGGAAGTTCAAACGACACCCCGGCAAAGCATATTTTATTTCCCCTGGGAAAGAGTTTTCTCTCCAAAGATAGCTAAATGTTATAGAAGGTTAGCACCTCTAACTCCTAGCCCAGTGGCTATAAAGCACCAGTAAATGCTGGTCAAGCACAAACAAGTAATTACCGTTCGGGGGCAAGGATGTGTGTGCCAATGAAGACTTCATGTGTTGACCAGGTCCCTTCGGTTCTGTTTACTGAAATGGGTGTTTTACATTTAGACCCAGGTCATTTAGGTTTTTATACTTTGCTCAGATCTACTGATAAAAATAGCATTGTACCTATGGGTCTCTCTGTACATGAAATGTAGCTAGCACTCCTACAGGGCGGGTAGGTGAACTTCATGGAATGTTAACTATAATCTGTTGTGTATTCAGCTTCCCTGGTGATCAGGTGAGCACAACTCTCTGATAAGTGGACGGTTTACCTGGGCCTTGGGTCGGGAGAGCTTTTTCTGCTCAATTCTCAGTTGCTGAGGTGAGCTAGGAAAGGGTTAGTTAATGTGTTGAGATTCAGCTATTTCTAGACCAAGAAGAGAGAAAAGTCCAGACTTGTATTTCTGTTGTGTAAAGTGTGGATTGCTGTTTTCCCTATCATTTTGCAAAATTACACCTTTAATCGGCTGAAATAGACTTGAAGACAGCAAGCAAGCAAACTTGTCCAACCTTTAATGCTATATCCATCTTCCCATCCTCCCTGATCCCCGCAAAAAATAGAACCTTTCTTTACTTTTCTCCTTTTTTAGGGGCAAAGTTAGGTTTGTAGGAAGAATACACACACACACACACACACACACATCCACCAGCATAGAAGAAACAAATTGCAGAATCTGCCAACAACAACAACAAAAAAGAACTTTTATTGCCCTTTTTTTTTTTTTTGGTTAATGAAACCCCAAAGAAATATGTGAGACACTGTTCCGGCTGGAAAATTGTTCATTTGTAAATTGCAGGGACAAAGAGACCTGAGCAACTTTCCAGCTTCTGTGCACGTCAATGTCGATAGTGGGCCTTCTCCATCATCAGCACTAAATTCACATTGATGCCTCTTTTCTTCTCCGTATTGATCCTTCCATGAGAACGTAGATTTGTATCTGTTAATTAATGCGTCCTGAAACAGCGTTTGTATTAATCAGGCAGATAAGAAAAATTGGATGGCTGAGCCCTCCTGGCAACCATGAAAGTGCCTGGCCCTGATAAAATCGTGGGGGGACCTCAATAAAAAAGTTCCTCCTTCCACTCAATAAACTAATCATCCTGCTTTTAATTATTCGGCAGAAAGATGTGTGGAGATTGGAGAATGTGTAAATCTATTTACTAACAGAGGGAGAAGGGGGCCTCCCAGGAAGGGGCTGCGGGCTGCACGCTCTGTCCATCTGCTGCGGCAGAAAACGGCTGGTGGGGAGTGAAGAGGAAAAGGAGCCCTAAGAACATGAAAAAGGGCTTTTCGGTCATCATTTCCTAGGTGACCGTTTTCTTTTTCATCCATTTGCCTTACAAAAGAAGTTCCTGTAGAGTCCCTTTCCTTGAATTAAAAAATTTTAGATATGTAAGACCTCTTTCTCTTGGGACAGGGGAACAGAAAACAGAGCAATATTATGCGTTTGTTTGTATGTTTTTTTGTTTGATGTGAGTGTAACTGTCTCAAAACCAAAAGCAAATGGAGCTAAACCTCCTCCGATAAAAATCAGTATTTTTTGTGTTTTGAATGCCTGTTTAAAATGATGTCAATTGTTATAGCTAATTTTATGAGGATATTTACTAATACAACCCCCTATGGAAAAGACAAAAAAAAAGAGAAGGGAAAAAAGACTTTCACAGCCAGTCCAAAGGAAGACCCATCAGGTAATATGACAGCAGCTTGATAAACAATGAGACAAATGCCTTTTAAAGACAGATACCTGAAGTCCCCCTTAAGTAAAGCTCGACCAATCCCTCTTGCTGATTTTATTAAACACTTCTACTTAATGGGGCCAAATGGCAAACTACTGGTTATCACCAAGAAGCCAAGACGTGTCTTCCTTTCCCTTACTGTGCTGTCATTCTTAATAGCACAGGGGATATGAACAAGTCAATAAGGATAAAAATGGGGACAACAGTGACCATAGCAAGAGCCTATGAAGGTGGGGCAGCACCGAATAAAGTCTAGACAGGGAGTAAAAATAAATTGTATAAGTTGTGTTATCCGAAAATTCCCTCTTCTGTAGAACTGCTGGTGGCAGTACCTTAAATCGTGGCCATTGATTGTCCTCAAAGACTACAGGAGTGGTTGGTTGGTTGGTTGATTGGTTAGTTGGTTACCATTAAAGTCCCTGGCATAACCTTGGAAATGAAGCTGAACTTTCAAAAAAAAAAAAAACTTTTTTTAGGACTCTTGGTAAAAGTATGTCACTTACTATCAGATTTATTCACTAAGACCTTACTCTTTAAATTTCTTTTAGAATTTAGATCTGGTTCCTCTAAGTCATAGATACATCTCTTCACTCTAAGTGAGGCTTACTTGTACTATTTCATCACTTTCTGTTTAACCTCATTTTCATATATATATCTATGTGTACATGTATTTGCATATTTTCTCAAGCTCAGGAAGGACTATAAGCATGCATGTGTAAATGTAGATGAGATTTTTAGTAAATAATTGAAAACAGTCATCCAGATATTTCAGATAGAAATAATGCCCAATGCAGCTACCCTTACTGAAGGCATATTATAAATTTGTATCTTGTCAAATGTTTTTTTTATATTTTCCATGAAAAAAATATGGTACGAGTAAATGATCTGCTTCAAGGTGAGATAGCCAGTAGCTTCCTGGGGCCAGTATTTAAATTCAGTTCTGACTCTGCTCAACCTCTCCACAAAACCCCGTTGCCCCATATTTAACTTTTTAAATAACTGGGACTTAATCCTAAGAACAAACTTGCTTTTCTGCTCGGTAAAGAGGCCAGGGTGCTAAGTACTCCACTCTCTATTATACCAAAAAAATCACTATTTTCAAAAGGAACTCATGTGAAATATTGCTGTGGACAATGTATTCAATTGCAAAGGCATTCGTGACTATTGTAGAGAAATGTTTCCAAATTTCACTCCTCTATATGACCTACATTATTTGTTTTCCTTTATTTTTTTGGCTCTTTATAAAGAAACTTTTTTGTTTATCAGTGCTAGTTTTTAGACATGAGGTTGTGGAAATGCCAACTTCCTATAAGTCATTAAGACTTCAGCCAGAAAAACCAAGTATAGTTAACAATTCCATCATATTTTCCCCTCCAGTACAAGATAGAAAACTACTTCTCTGCTGAAAGTTCCCTCAGCCCAGTCTATAAAGTATTGGGAAAACACCACCATGTCGGAGCTGGTTGGTAACTTTTACTTTGCGGTTCGCAGAGTGATCAGGGGAAAATTTAAGAGCGTCTGATCAAACTCGCATAATTTTGAGTCCAAACACAGAGGCCGCCCCCCCTGTGAAACTAATGTGTCATTGTGAAATTATGGCTTTGGAGTAACTGGATCTGCCCGTCTTCCCACGTAGGCTTCTCCACGCTGTCCCTGGCCGACCAGATGAGCCTGCTGCAGAGTGCCTGGATGGAAATCTTGATCCTGGGGGTCGTGTACCGATCTCTTTCCTTTGAGGACGAACTTGTCTATGCAGATGATTACATAATGGATGAAGACCAGTCCAAGCTAGCAGGCCTTCTTGACCTAAATAACGCTATCCTGCAGCTGGTAAAGAAATACAAGAGCATGAAGCTGGAGAAGGAAGAGTTCGTCACCCTCAAAGCAATAGCTCTTGCTAATTCAGGTCGGCATACTGACGCGGTCATTGTTCCATTTCGGAACATGTCAGTTTCACCCTCCCCCTTACCTTCTTCAGAGAGTTACTAGACCCAGCTGTAAATTCTTGTATGAAACAGCAAAATGAGCGTCATTATAGCTTTCGAGTGAAAAAGTTAAAAATAAGAACAATCAACTTAAGGGGAGTTATTCTTAGTATATTTGCCTATAATATTGAAAGCTGTGGAATTTTTGCCACCTTGTACATTTACTAATATGTAGAGTATGGCCATTCTCAGGACAAAATTAGCTCCATTGTCTTATATGCACAAGGGAAAACAAGTGTGAATTATAAACACGCGCAAACCGTATTTTCCCTTTAAAAGTGCAGATTTTGCAATTGGAAAAAATATGTGGTGGCGTTTCTGATTTTGGTTCTCCGTGAACACTGCTGTCTTACCTAGTGGAATCCTGTAAAGTCAAATTCGGCTGGGGGAGTGTGCTCCCTCTCAGAGGTGCTTACCGCTGACGTGGTGAGGGGTTAGAGTTACGGGAATAAACGGTCTTTACGCTTGTACTGAAACGTACTCAAGGAGGGAGCCGGCTCTGATAAGTAAAAATCGTTGGCGCTTTGTTGTTTCCCCCTTTGTGCCTTCCTGGACGCTTTCTTGTGGTCTTAGGTCTGTCTGGGCATTTGCATAAAGTTCCGGATACATCCCTCCTTAATGACGTGCCGATCATTAGATACCTGCTAGTCGATAGCGCGCTCTGATGCTGTGTACCATTGACAGCCACACCGTGCCTTCCCATCTGCTTTTGTTTTGACCCTATCTTTGAACTTTATCTTGGTTGCCGGCCAATAGTTTTCCCTTTAATTACAAGAAGGAAACTGTCAATAAAATCTGTTAAATGGGACGCAATGAGTGGCTTGAATGGGCAGACGGCTATTTGTTCAAATCCTGCAGCATTCAAGGTATTGACAGTTTGTTTTCTGGGGCCATATGTCACGATCAATCTCAGGCTGGGCTCAGCCGCGCTGAAAAATGAAAAACCAGATTGCTTTTGCTTAGTTGTGGATGACGACTTTGTGATTTGGCGCGGTCCTAGTGAGATGAGACCTTCTGCCCAAATTGCTCCCATGAGAGCCAGGGATGCGTGACTGTTTTTAGAAATAATTTTTAATTGATTTTGTAATTAACAGTTCATCTGCAATATTGATGCCTGAATCCTCGGACTGATGGGGGGAAATTGTTTTCCACAATGAAGTTGTACTTTCCTCTCTGTCTTTATAATGGAGTCCAGCATTTCACACTTTTATTTGTGGACGCAGCTTTCTTCCTCACGGCATCATTCTCTCCTCCTACTTCCCAGTGACACTGTAAAATGTGATTCGCTGTGACAAATGGCATTGTGTCACACACCCTCCGGAACCCCTGGTCCTGCTCCTCTAGAAAACCAAAGAGAGACATGGGGTTGGAATTTTCCAAGAATTTATTAATGTGTAGAGACTGCATTTTACAGCATCTCTTGTAATTGGATGAATGACTTGGGAAAGCATTTTTATTTGGTAATTATATAGAAATTCAAATTTAAACATTTACTTGGATAATTATGGAGAAAGTACAGCAAGCCAGTTTTGGTATCATTCATGTTTCCAATTGCCTTTTTCGATAATTAACTAATCATGAATGCTGAGCAATGCTAAGATTTAATCATCAAAATTGCTGAAGACTTTATAATGTGAGAAGTTAAGATGCAGACTTTCTGGATGCGGATTAGGATTTAGGGTGCCTCGGTGGCAACATGTCTGATTCTGTCATAGAGAAGTAGAATCATTCATATTTTTATAGATAAACGCTCAAACCCTGCACACTCTTCTCTTAGGAGGAGGAAGTGACCTACTTTAGACTGGTGATAAGAGGTTATTGAAAGAACTAGTTAGTACGTTTTTCTTGTTTCAAGCCACAAATAATTAACAAGCCCCCCGCCCACCTTTTCCCTTCATTATAGTACTGAGTAATATTGCTTTTTCTAAGAAAATTTCACCTTGTCACAAAATTTTCCCTCCTGTTATTTTAAGTCTTTTCGCCTCTCAATACCAATAGCAACTCAGCCAGCATCCATAATAAAGAGAAATGAGTCAGGGCTGTGAGCTCTAAGTGTTTATTCCTACGTGTGCCCCTCCCCTGTGCTGTTTAAATACGGTCTTTCTCTTCCCCTCTCACCTGCAAGCTTCACCATTTTACTTGGGGTGCATGACTCAGAATGTCATTTTCTCTGATACTGTACAGGACACCACTCATTTCTTTTTTTCATTCATTTTTTTTTTTACCATTATTGAGAAGACAGTGATAAAGTTGTAGATTTGATCTTGCTTAGATCCAGCGATTCTTAAGCTACTCATAAACACATCCATATGAAAATGCTGTAATACGATGTCTGGAGACCCTAAAAAGCTTATAGATTGTCTTTGAGTATTTAGAAATTTCAGATCACCATGAGTAACTGTGTGTAAAAAAAATCTATTTCAGTGTCATTTATGGATATCTTGGCGTCCCTTCTATGGCTGAAGGTGTTCACCACCATTGCCTCATTAATCTAAATTTCTGCTTATTTTAAACATCTGTCTTTATTCAATAATTATAAATGTTGTGCTTATACTCGGGAAACAGAGAATTGGCTTCCTGATAATTGCTGTCATATTTTTTGTAGCTTTGTTTTTGTGGTATGTGAATTCAGGAATACTTACACACCAGAACGCCAGTGGAAGTATAGTCCCTATCTTCAGGTATATGCCCCCCCCCAAAATATATATATATATATATATATATATTCCATGAACTAATACTGTACTCCTTACATGTAAATATTTGAAAACACTCAGTAATTGCTCCAGTTAATTTTGAAGGTAAAAAACACAAAACTCGGAGGCTTAAACTATATATTCCTCTGTTCTTTGCTTTTGGCTCAAATCTGCTATCACTGTTTGAGTCATTTTAATTTGATTTAATATAGTATATTTGGGTTGTTTTTTAATGTAGTGCAAGCCTTACATTTCATACATATTTATATTTCAAATGTGTAAAACGGTAAAAACTAGTTCTCCAATGCTTTTTTTCATCATAGTCACTGTTCACGATGCACTGACGTAGTAGAGGAAATACTGACTTCAGGTGTATCTATGATTCCAACCTGGGTAATAAGCATATAGAATATGTTGCCATTGTTTTTTCTGAGGGTGGCATAACAACATTTCCCTTTACTGGTCTTAAGATAATGAGCATTCCGTTACCAAAGGTCATTACCGTGGTACGGATCATTGATGACCTGGGGAACGCTGAAAGATGTACCACCCAAGTTGGAATCAACATTCACTTAGTGAATATAATTATCTTTATCACTTCCAATAAATGGAATTAGGAAGCTCCTAGAAAAATACAAGCTGCCTCTCAGAGGCAGAGAGAAGGCCTGGAGTACTTCTAAGGGAAGAGAAGGGGACCAGCAGGAGAGTCTCATTTGGTGAGATACATGTAACCATGATAACAATAATTGGGGATTTGTGCAAGAAGCCTGCAGGAATGAAATGGGGGACCAGGGGATGTTCTGTGGCTCACCATTTTATATGGATTCTGTGTAAGAGTGAGTGGTGTAGCGCTGTAAATGTAAAATTCTGGTTTCACAGCCAGAGCCGGACACCAAGAGAACAGCTTTCCTGAGACAGCAAGTTTCAGGAAATCAGGAGTTCTAGCCATGGTTCAGCACAAAACCAGAATTATTGTGACTATTTTTAATATTAGAAATACAACTTCTCTGAGTTAGCAAACACCTAGAAGTTATTTAACCCAACTCCCTACTTGATGCATGAACAGTGGCCTTGGTAGTTCCGCCAAGTGTTTCTGCAGTCTTGATGGGAATTCTCCTTGACTCACTAATGTCTAGAAGGGATCACTCACTCCGTGAGCAGTTTCTCGGTCCCTCTCTATCTCCTTCACCATTTTAACATGAAACACAACACATTAAACACACACACACACACACACACACAGAAAACAAATATGTAGCTTAATGAGCATATTAGTTTCCTACAGATGCTGTAACAAATTGCCACAACCTGGTGGCTTTAAACCACACGGATTTATCCTCTTGCAGTTCTGGTGGTCAGAAGTCCATAATCGGTTTCACTAGGTTAACGGGTCCGTAGGGTCATGCCCCCTCCGGAGGGCGTCTGTCTGGGGACAGCCCCCAGCCTTGTCTGTCCAGCTTCCAGAGCAGCAGGCCTGTCCTTCCTTGGCTCGCGGCACCTTCCTCCGTCTTCCAAGCCACAAGTGTGGCCTTTTCTTCAATGGCTTTGAAGCCTTTTTCTTCCTTTACCTCCTGCTTATAAAAACACTTGATGTCGCCAAAGGTGCAGTTTTCAGCCTCCCACAATGAATATGAACAAAAGTGAGGTCAAGAAAGAAACATCTGCAAGGCATCCCAGAAATCCCTCCCTGCCCTCAAGAGTAACCACTGTCCTGACTTCGGTAGCCATCAGTCGTTTGTGTCCGGCGGTTTCATTTCGAGAGGTGTATCCCCAGGCACAGTAGTTGCATCTTGTCCATCAAAAACCTTTAAAAAAATTCCTTATGGAATTTTTGTTCTCCTTTCATCTAAAAGTTCCTCTTTCATTTTTTTTTCCTGTTGAAGGAGTGTGCCCTTGGTAGATTGCACACTCTAGATGTGATTCATGCAACTTCCCTGCCCTTTGCATTTCATGCAAATTAGCGTCTGGATCCAGAGACTTGATTGGACCGGGTTCTATGCCTGTGGCACCCACAAGTGGTGCGTTTACCACCAGGAAGCACGTTCCATCTGCCTGTCTCTCTGTGATGCTCATTACTTATGTCTCTCCATCACTGGGGGTTGCAAGATGGTGATATGTAGTTTTACCATTTCTTTTTTTCACTCAGGAGTTGGGATATTTATATAAAGTGACTCTTTTTCTCATCCTTATTTTGTTACCAGGGATACACAGGAAAGGTAGGCCAAATGCTTGATTTTTCTCTTTATTTACGTATTCTCAAGATAAAGAATTGGCGCCCTATTTTTTTTAATGTCATTAGAAGCACACATATTTAAACATACTCAATGGATTTCAATCAACTGCAGTTATAATCCTTTTTCAAGCTTGAATGGTCACATTTGGGGTCAGTTTGGAAGACAGGTGCTGATTTTCTTTGGTGTTGGTGAAGTTCTACTCTGGGCCACCCTTCAGGTGAGCTTCTGGTATCCTTTTGAGTGACTTAATAGTTTAATAATGTCCTTCCTGTGCCGTATGACAAGGTGTTCCATGCTCATCTAAAATATTTCCAGACCGGGGTCTGGAATCCAATTATAACCTGGGTGCTAGGTTGCTCTTGACTCATTGCCAACATCCCTGGATTGGGCAGTCATCCTGGGCCCCTTCAGAGGACAGAGGTGGGGACACAGACACGCACACAATGATCTGATGCTGTGTATGTGTGTATCTTGGGGACACCTTGCCACCCAGTTTTTATGTAGGTGATGTCTCTGGGTTTTCAGTTTTGCCATCGATTTCTCTCTTGATCTCTTGATTGTCACGTGCAGATTTAGAGAGTTTAAAATATTTTTTAAGATTTTATTTATCTTTAGAGGGGAAGGGAAGGAGAGCGGGAGAGAAATATCAATGTATGGTTGCCTCTCATGCATCCCCTGCTGGGAACTGGCCTGCAGCCCAGGCATGTGCCCTGACTGGGAATCAATCCATGGTTATTTGGTTCGCAGGCCCGCACTCAATCCACTGAACTACACCAGCCAAGGCAGGTTAGAATATTTTGCTGCCCCTACTGCCATCTTCCCTGAGTCCACTCTTCCTACTTTGAATCAGAACCTTATGGTCCACAACTTCTTTTTTAAAAGAAGTACCAACTCCTCCATCCATCAAGAGCCCATGGGCCGCAGCCTCAGCCAGCACCCCAACTTGGGGCAACCCAGGGGTCTCTCTCTTAGACTCCATCTGCGCTGCACAGAAACTTCTGAGACACAAACTCTCTTTTAGAGAGAAGCTTTATCTCCTTTGTCATGTCCATCATACTGTGTTTCGCTCCTTTAGTGACTGGAGAAAGTCACATTCCTTTCGGCTCCCACCTCAGAGAGTAAAACATTGGAAGTTAATGAATTGATTCTATGTTATGATTAGGAGTTGAAGCTTCATATATGGGTGATAATATATCTATCATGTATCCTCTAGTTATCTTTTGAAATCTTGACTTTCTTAAAATAGCATTTGTTTGTCTTACTGTCTAGTTCAATAGTTCTCAACCCTAGCTTGGCCAAAGAATCACCTAGATTTTAACAGAAACTGATGTCCTAATTCAGCCCCAATTTTCTGATTTTCTGATTCAAGAAGTCTGGGCTTGGAAGCCTAGGCATATGAGGTTATTTTTTTTCTACATGAATACTGGCACTATTTCTTTTAGAAACATAGAGTTAAAGAAACTATCACCAACCACCAAAACTAAATAATTATATAAATGAATGCCAGTTCTACTGAGTCTGGCATAAATCTATAAATTTAGCCTGAAGAACAAAACAAAGATTAAAGCTACAGGGCCAGAACTTGAACCAGGACCTCTAATGGAGATTAATATTTTCTTCAGCAGTCTGCCAGCTGAATCACGGTCTAATTAAACAGTTCAGATTTAGTGAGTTTGCATTTAAAGTATTAGCAGATCCGAGAATGGCTAAAGCTAAAATGAGTTAGAATCTTTCTCTGCAAATGGGAAGTTAAATTATCATAGTAATTTGATTAAATCATTTTTAAATCTCACGCGCTAAATCACAGCCTTTAAAGAATAGTTTGAAGTCTTAATTGCTGTTTGTGAGCGGATCTCCCTGCTATTTGTCCCTGCCTCCTTTCCTGTGACATCCTATAATACATCTCCTGCTGGGCCAGACTGGTGGGGAAGGGAGTCTCCGCTGGGGGGAGGGGCTGAGCGCCCGCCGCTGACTTCCAGCATTTAAAGGTCTGCCTGGTAGAAGAAGGGAAGGTCCCCTGTATAGTCCCAGTAACCGGGACTGAAGTTTGGAAGTGGGAGACAGATTTGGAAAAATATGGAGATGTTTCTAATAGTTAGCTCTGTTTTTGTCGAGTAGAATGCTCTCCCCACATAGAACTGGAAATGTCTTCATCAAAGACTTGTACAGGGGATTCCTGATGAAGGTAGAAGGGTGAACGGGGTGAGTTCAGAGGACAGTTTCAACTCATTTTTTTAAAAAAGGGAAAGAAATGTCACGTACAAGGTTATAAATTCTGGCAGCACTCTGTGATGGGAAGAAACCTGAGGCTAAGCCGAACTCTGACCCTTACCCCCACTACCAGGTGACCTGTGGGGCAGCTGGGGCACAAAACCAGGCAGTGGCCCTACAGTGTTTATCAGAGGCCTGGCCACAAACAGGTTCTGAATACCAGGTGTATTTGTTATGTTTGTTCTGCCTTTTGGGGGCATTCTGCTTGGAAAATACTTTGTTTTAATTTTGTCTATAAAGAAGACCATCTCTGTTTTCTCACCCTTTTATCCACCTCTGGTATTTCTCAGAGTGCTAACTCTTAGTACAAGGACAGGTTGGACAAGTCCCCCTCGCCTCCGTTCCCTTACCGTACGAGGGCAATTTTTCGTGTACCTGGGCATTCACCGCTGTGTGTGTCCCTGCCACCATTTCCCCTCAGACAGCATGTAATGCAAAAACAGAGGCCAGGATCAGAGTATGTAGCTGTCACCTCTGTGACTATTTTTGTCACTAATATTACCAACCCTCAGACACACTGAAAATCACGTGTGCTTGTTTTAAAGACAAGACCCGTAGGAAGTGGATGGGATTACCATTCATCCAGGAACCGTACTGGAGAGACTTGGAGAAAGCAGCAGTCTGTAGGGAAAGACCAGGTACAGGCTGGAGTGTGCCTTGCATTCCACTCCAGGGCCCCACTATGAACGTTGCCCTCGTGGAAGAATTCCTTCTTTTGGCTCCTTCAGGCAGGAATCAAATTCTGAGCAGTTAATACTTAAAAAAATGGTACCCCAGATTACTCAAAACTCTCTCAAAGAAATGTGTCACTAGAACCACCTAACGTAAATAGTCATACTTCACCAATAATGCAGTCCAATGATTCCAAATGACCACGTAAAAGAACAATGAACAAAATACAAAGACAAGTTCAAAACATATTACCACCTGCAGTGGCCATCAAGCTTTCGCCCCAGCTGGTGTGGCTCAGTTGGTTAGGCCTTGTCCACAAACCACAAGGTCACTGGTTCAATTCCATCAGCACAGGCCTGGCCTGCGGGATTGCTCCTCAGCGGGGGCACGAAGGGGGCCAGTCTGTGCTTTTCTCTCACATCAGTGCTCCTCTCCCTCATTTTCTCCCTCCCCTCCCCTCTCTCTAAAACAGAAAGGAATTTAAAAAACTCGAAAAAACCAGCATTCAAGCTTTTCATTACTTTGCCGTAATTTTTATCGTATGTTTAGCCACTTGACATTAAATCACATTTCCTCTCTCTTTTTGTCATGTGACCTGACGTTTAAATTATATGAAGGATTAGACTAACTATGTATATCTTAGAACTCAGCCATCTCCAAGAACCAGAATTATTAAACATGCAGAATCCCCCCAAAGACCCCATTATGTGTAATTAACAGATAAACTGTCATCAGAATCAATAAAACGTGCTAAATGATTCAAACTTGTATATAATTAAGTGTCTGGTTTAGAACTAGAGCTGTAAGTTTTATCCCCCCCCTTCCCCACCCTCTCACATTTCTTGCAAGAATAATGTGGGGACCCGGTTAACCCTTTCCTTGCCTGATCGAATTCGATTTTTAAATTAAACTCAGACCTCGTTAATGGAAAGGCTTTATTTGTGTATCATTGGAGAAGCAGACTATGTAAGGATCTTTTAAGGACCTCAGAAGAGTCCCCTAAAAATTCTACAACTGAACACGGTGTTAGATTCAGGGTGTTTACATGGGATTCTTAAAATCTTGGTCATCAGTGTTTTTCTTTCCTTTTGGGAAATACGAGCTTTTTCAGGGCAAGGTCCGAATTTTAAACAACTTTACTTCCACAGCATGGAAAGTAATACTTATAATAGATGGCCTTTCATAATTGTTGAAGGAATGAATAAATAGATGAATGATGTAATGACTACAATAGCCAAGATTGTAATCTGTTCAAAGAGAGGCTTCTCTCGCTCAGTCTTGAGAGACAGAGAAAAAAACCCCACACTTTTAAAATAATAGATCTTTTGTAATAACTCCCATGTTCTAAGCAAGCACTGCGTATTATCTACTGTTGGGAAATTTAGACAGAGTTAGGAAAGGTGAGGCTCCGAACGCATCGCAGCTGAGAGCTTAGCAATGTTCAGGAATAACATTGAATTTTCACAACGCTGTGATACGTAGGTTTTTGTGATTGTTAGCGTTCATCACACTCTCATGCGTAGGTTGTATCATTATTAATAGTGCGGTTTGTGTTTTTTGCCTTCCGGTACAGACTCCATGCACATAGAGGACGTGGAAGCTGTCCAGAAGCTCCAGGATGTCTTACACGAGGCCCTGCAGGATTACGAAGCCGGACAGCACATGGAAGACCCTCGGCGGGCCGGCAAGATGCTGATGACGCTGCCCCTCCTGAGGCAGACGTCCACGAAGGCCGTGCAGCATTTCTACAACATCAAACTCGAAGGCAAAGTCCCCATGCACAAACTTTTTTTGGAAATGCTGGAAGCCAAGGTCTGACCGAAGGCCTCCTGGGCCTCCTTCACCTGCACGCCGGAAAAGGGGAAGCAAACCCGAGGGTGATGTCGAAGAAACGTAGAGTTTAGTCAACACCATCAAAAATCAACAAAGACTGCGCTGATAATTTAGCAGCAAGACTATGAAGCAGCTTTCAGATTTTTCCATATCTTCCTGATGAATTTCTTTCTACCTGATCTCATCTTTTTTTTTTCATTTCTCTTCCTCTTCATTTTTTTCCCTCTCTTACTTCTCCTTTCCCTTAGTTTTTGAGTTTGACTTTCTTGATTATTAGTTTTCACTCTCCCTTCCTTCCTTCCCTTCTCCCTTCTCCTACTTTCTCTCTTCTCAGCCTTGTCTTTCTTCTAAATTTTAAATGGCTCTAATTGTAAGAAAATTTTTCTTCTTTCCTTTCCCTTCCCCCCTTCCCTCCCCCTCCCTCCCTCCCTCCCTCCCTCCCTTCCTTCCTTCTGCTGCTGAACTTTTAAAAGAGGTCTCTAATTGAAGAGAGAAGGAAGCCAGCCCTGCCAAAGGATGGAAATCCATAATATGGATGCCAGTGAACTTATTGTGAACCATAACGTCCCCAATGACTAAGGAATCAAAGAGAGAACCGACGTACCTAAAGTACAGTGCAACAGAAGCGAATTGACTGAGTGCAGTATTAGATTTCGTGGGAGCGGCCTCTAATGAGACACCTTAGGCAACGTTGTTGCATCGTTGCTCCGCTGCTTCTTATCATTGCTTTCCCATCTAGATCAGTTACAGCCATTTGATTCCTTAATTGTTTTTTCAAGTCTTCCAGGTATTTGTTAGTTTAGCTACTATGTAACTTTTTCAGGGAATAGTTTAAGCTTTATTCATTCATGCAATACTAAAGAGAAATAAGAATACTGCGATTTTGTGCTGGCTTTGAACAATTACGGACAATAATGAAGGACACATGAATCCTCCTGAAGGAAGATTTTTAAACAAAAACATTTTCTTTCTTCTTACAAATGGAGATTTTTTTTGTACCAGCTTTACCACTTTTCAGCCATGTATTAATATGGGAATTTAACTTAACTCAAGCAATAGTTGAAGGGAAGGTGCATATTATCACGGATGCAATTTATGTTGTGTGCCAGTCTGGTCCCAAACATCAGTTTCTTAACATGAGCTCCAGTTTACCTACATGTCCACTGACAGAAAGGATGAGATCATGCCATCCGTGACTCTGGGGAGTCACGGGTACGAGTGCTGCGCATGGAACCCAGATCCAGAGGGGTTTGAGAGGTGCGCCTCTCGGCCCGGGAGGTCCAGTTGCCATACAGTCCCTAACCGCCCTGCCACGGCGGTTAGGGGTGAGTTCCTGCCTGTTTGTGAAGTGACAGACCTTCCCCCCCCTCCCCCAAGGAGCTGTGAGCCAGTATTCACTTAAGAGGCAATAAGGCGAATGCCAGAATTTCAACAACAACAACAACATCATCGTCCTCAAGGGCGACAGACGCCTGACCAAATCCCAAAACCTATCCACATGAGTTGATTCATTTAGGAATGTTCGTTTCAATTAACCTGCAGTTTCGCCAAGCGCTAAGCCGATAGATCTGCTTTTTTCAACCAGTTATTGCCACAGCAAGAAAGTCAGTCAGGTTCCAGACTGTGAAGAGGTGTAATCTAATGAAGAAATCAATTAGATGCCCCCCGAAATCTACAGTCACTGAATAACCAAGAAACAAAGGAAACAAACAGTAACCTCCATCAGATGCTATACCAATGGACCAGTGTTAGTAGCTGCTCCCTGTACTATGTGAACAGTCTTATTCTATGTACACAGATGTAATTAAAATTGTAATCCTAACAAACAAAAGAAATGTAGTTCAGCTTTTCAATGTTTCATGTTTGCTGTGCTTTTTCTGAATTTTACGTTGCATTCAAAGACTGTTCGTCTTGTTCTTCTTGTGGTGTTTGGATTCTTGTGGTGTGTGCTTTTAGACACAGGGTAGAATTAGAGACAGTACTGGATGTACAATTCCTCAGGAGACTACAGTAGTATATCCTATTCCTTACCAGTAATAAGGCTCTTCCTGATAATAATCAAGAGATTGAAACTCCAAACAAGTATCCACTATGAAACAGATACACATCAAAATCATAATAATATTTTCAAAACAAGGAATAATTTCTCTAATGGTTTATTATAGAATACCAATGTATAGCTTAGAAATAAAACTTTGACTATTTCAAGGATATAGATAAGTCTAATTTTTAAATGCTGTATATATGGCTTTCACTCACTCATCCCTCCGATGTTGTTATTAACTCGCTCTGTGTTGTTGCAAAACTTCTTGGTGCGGATACGTCTCCAAAACTCTTGCTACTTTGTGTGCTTTAAACAAAATACCTTGGGTTGGTGTTTCATCAGCCCGATGCTAGAAATACTGTGTATCTATCATTAGCTATACGGGAATATATTGTAGATTGTGGTTTCTCAGTAGAGAAGTGACTGTAGTGTGATCCTAGATAAATCATCATTAGCAATTCATTCAGATGGTCAATAACTTGAAATTTATAGCTGTGATAGGAGTTCAGAAATTGGCACATCCCTTTAAAAATAACAGCAGAAAAAAATCCAACTCCTGGGACATAAAAAGGTGCTGATTCTATAAGATTATTTATATATGTAAGTGTTTAAAAAGATTATTTTCCAGAAAGTCTATGCAGGGTTTGAGTTGCTACTATTCAAACACAGTATATAGAAATAAAGTATACACAATATAGACATCGTTTTTACTGTATCACATTAAAGTACTTGGGCTTCAGAAGTAAGAGCCAACCAACTGAAAACATGAGATGGAGATAGGTGGGAAAAAAAAGGAAGTACAATTTATAGCTTTCAGTTTAAGGGAAACATAAATAGGAAACACAACTAACATGCAGATTTCAGAACTGCACGGAACTGCACGGGCTTTTCGGGCAAATGCTCATCTTAAACCTCACTCGAGGTAAGTTTTTTCAAGTTTCAAGCAAGACCCTTGACTTAATGTGAAGTTTTGGAAAGTTTTAAAGGTGTATGTTTTCGCCATGAGATTTTAATTTTTATTCTTCTTCTTTTTCGGTTTGTTCTTATTTAAAGCAATATGATTGTGTGACTACCTGCTGTTACACTTGTGTTTCAATCAGCTCAGATTGTTGTATTTATTCCACTATTTTGCATTTAAATGATAACATAAAAGATATAAAAAATTTAAAACTGCTATTTTTCTTATAGAAGAGAAAATGGGTGTTGGTGATTGTATTTTAATTATTTAAGCGTCTCTGTTTACCTGCCTAGGAAAACATTTTATGGCAGAGTCTTATGTGCAAAGATCGTAAAAGGACAAAAAAAAATTTAAACTGCTTATAATAATCCAGGAGTTGCATTATAGCCAGTAGTAAAAAGAATAATAATAACAATAATAATAATACTAATAAAACCATGTCTATAGCTGTAGATGGGCTTCATATCTGTAAAGCAATCAATTGTATATTTTTGTGATGTGTACCATACTGTGTGCTCCAGCCGATGTCCATTTGTGTAAATGTATTTATTTTATATTGTATATATTGTTAAATGCAAAAAGGAGATATGATTCTGTAACTCCAATCAGTTCAGATGTGTAACTCAAATTATTATGCCTTTCAGGATGATGGTAGAGCAATATTAAACAAGCTTCCACTTTTGATTGCTCTTCTGCATGGTGTGTCTTTATTCACCCCCCCCCCACCCTCCCACCCTCCACGAGAGAACCAAGTCAACCAAGACTGCCCTTCGCTGCTTCCCCTGAAAGAGTGTCTCGGGAGTACCTCTTCCCTAAAAATAAAGCAGGAGTTTAAATAAGAGCTATATAAAGGCCTGTCAGAATGAATTCTAGGGTGCCAAGAAGCATTTTGCATATTTAAGAGTATGCAAAGTGTCTCGTGGCACATTAGAATTCACCCTGACAAGCCTTTATATAGCTCTTTCTTAATCTTAAAGCATCTCTGCATCATCCTGCATTACTCCAAATCATCGCCTCTGTGTCAGTGTCATAACAGAAAACTTTCCCCGTGTTTTAAGATCGCGTTAAAACGAGCGATTCCTCTTCTTTCCCTGCACCCACTATGAAATCGTGTTTGCTCGGAGCTCGTCGGCGAGAGCCGGAGAAAGCGGCTCGCTTTCGGGAGCAGCCCTGGCGCCGCTGGCCAGGTTTCCTGAGTGAGAAATCAGCAGAGTTTCCAGGTCCGTGCGCGGGAGGCGGGGAGCCGCCTGCAGCTCCAGAGGGCTCAGCGGCCGGGCTGACAGCTGGCGGCCTCCCCTTGCCTCTTCCGCTCCGTTGCTGCTCCGGGGTAGCCGCGTGGCCCCGCACCCTCCTGCAGCTATCACCAAGGTGCTAATACGTGCGTTCCTGTCCCTGCTGCCTTTCGTGTGAGTGGCGTGTCGGTCGGTGTCGGCTCCCTGTACTTCTCACCTTGCAGAGGTGGCGGGTGCTCTAGAGACGCAAGCCGCCTCGGAGGTAGGGGCTTGCGGTGTCCCGAAGCCCCACTGGCGAGCCCCAGAGCTCGGTCTCTTTCCTCCTCTCCTGTCCTTTGAGTTGCACTAGCTCAGCCAAGAATCGGACGTGTTTGGGGTATTTTCACAGTGTGTGGGTGGAACAGACACAATGTGAGGAACAAACCCGAGAGGAAAAAAAATCGTGCCTGTCAATCGTCCAGGGACGTCCTCCTTTTAAAATACCCGTGTTACACACACACACACACACACATGTGCTTTAAGGACTTAAGTGTCAGGATTGTCTTGCTGCTTTTTATGATTCAGAATTATTGCAGAGTAATTGTTTTTTTTGTTTTCTTTTTGGAGACTGCCATGTTCATTGGGGATGCGTCAGGTGTAAAAGGAAATAATAAAAGTCCGTTTGGGGCGTTTTAGCAGCTTGTATTTCTGGATCTATAAACAATGGGTAGCTCTGACAAATGGCTCTCCTGTTTGTGCGAAGGGATGGCTTTGGTTTGCACCTGTTGTTTGTAAGTGATTTTTTTTTCTTTAAAATAGTGGTTTTCAAACTAGGCTGCATATTGGAATCACCTGAAGAGTATTAAGAACTCCTGAAGCTCACGTTCTAACCCCCACCCCCCCTCCCATGATTGGGTTTTAATTGCTCTGAGGTGTATGTAGCCTGGGGTTTGAAATAATTAAAAACAAAAATTCTCCAGGTGATTCTAAGGTGAAGACAAGATGAGAAAACCACTGTTTTAAGTTTTATGCATTTCTCAAATCAGCCATGGATGTCCTAAAACGTTTTTAAAAAAACTCTTCATACATTGGCTCTGAATTTTTGTGAAGGTTTTAGACCGATTTTTTAAAATATCGAGACAAGCCCTGGTGGGGAGTCTCCCTGGGTAGGAGTGTCATAGTCCCATGCACCAAAATGTTGTGGGATAGATCCTGGGTCAGGGTGCCTTTGGGGACAACCAATCAATTTCTCCTCTCACATTGATGTTTCTCTTTCTCTCTCTCTCTCTCTCCCCTCCCCCTCCCTCCCTACCCCTCCCTCCCTCTCTAGAAGCAATAAAAAAAAGTCAACACAATGGACTTCATTGTAACTTACAAATCTAAAGCCAATGAAATGCACTTGGACTATGTTGCCCTCCACTGTCCCCACCTCGGTGTTTGGCCTTCCCATCCCCAGCTGTTCCAGCCAGTGTGAGGAACACATCTCACTGGTGACGCGCAAGCCACACCTTCTGCTTATACTTCCTTTAAACACAGAGACACTTGCTAAAAACAAACTTGTGCAGAACGGCACAATATTTTTCAAAAAGTGTTAATCCTACTCTTTGGGCCTTTCATACACTTTCAAATGGATTTAGGTGTAGCTCAAAATACCCGTTTTTTTCCCTACTACAAAAAGAAAACCAGCAACACATTTAGAATAAAATCGATTTCTCAGAGTGACCTGTCTTACGTATATTTTCCAAGTTGCTGATTTAGGTAAGAGGTAAAGATGACAGAGCGCAGACAGACTACTTCATTCTTGGGCCTATGCCAAAACTTCAGGTACCCTTTGCTAAGTGTGAAGTTTAATTTGTGATAAATCTGTAAAGAGCAAAAGAGATACGCTCGGACAAGTTGTTGTTTCATCTACAATGGTTTACTTACCGAATGGATAGTTCCATAGTCATGTAGATATAGAAATGTTTCAGTCAGTGTTTTCTGACCCTTCCAAATCTCTAAGTCTAGCCTCATGCTCTTCAATAGTGTGGAGAAAAAGACAAAGACAAAGCCAAGCAAATAACATAGATTGATTGCACACTACATCTTATTATGAAACAAAATAGAAAAGAAAGGGATTTCAAAACATAATCCCCCTTCCCCAGTAGTATTTGTCTTGTTCTCCATGAAGTTAAAGGTCTGAAATAATGTGCCCATCAGGGGCTCAATGTTGCATGTCCATCCCAGTTGGTCCAAGGGCTTGTTATGATGGTAATGACCTACTGAAACGTGGGCTTGGATTGCAACAATGCAATTGCTACCAGCTCACCCGCTGGGAGAAATATTTTATTATTGTCAAATGTCCTCCACAGAGATTTGTTTTGCCTGTTCCTGTTTAAATTAAATTCAAAGCAGAACTGCATTACTCTTCCTCTGGAGTATATTTGAGATAAACAACTGGCCTCAAAATTTAGGATTCCTGGCTAGCTCAAATTTGTTTATTAGCAGGAAAATTATAATAGGTGACACCATCGCTGCAGGAGTATGATGACGGCAGCCACACAAGAGATCGAGAGAACTCCCTTTTTCATTACAGATGCCAGCTGATCCATAATTAACTGTCCCATCCATGGTACAGCCTTTAAAAAAGGAAAGGTGTCCCACTAACCTAATGCAGGGCCATCATACGCCACAGAATCATGGCCGTGAGGGACTCTGCTCCAAATAAGAAGTGGTTTTGAACTTCAGGTTGTAAACCTAATGTGTCTGTGTGTGTAACAATATTTTTAACCAGCACAGCAGTAGACACAGCACAGAAGCCCAGAACATGAATGAAAATGCTCTTGAAGCACACTGTATTCTTTTCCAATATTATTTTTAAAAAGAATTGAAGAGAATACCCTAGACCATGTATTTGAATCATTTTGCTGCAGGGACTATAGCTCAGCGTTGCCGAAAGATTTTGGAACTGTGAAGATTTACGTCAACACACGTTTTGTTGCTGGTAGTCGAATGAGAACTGGACCTTATTTGACAGAACGATGCCTGTTGCCTTAGTGCCAATGGCAGTGATCTGTGTGTTTTGTCATGGGCTGGACTTCAGAGAGCTGGTTTCAGGAAATGCATACAGACTGTTGGAGGGGTTGCTGAGTTGGCCTAAGAAGAAAACATTTCGGACTAGTAGGGGCATTAAATCATTCTATTCACACTTCAATTCGATCTGCCATGCCCAGTCACATTTCACAGTTTTGTTGGAAAGTGAAGAACTGGCTGCTATAAATAACAACAACAACAAAAAAATCCACAAAACTAAAGTCAGAAGAGCATTTTCCAAAATGGTGTCTAGAGCTAGGCAAGGGTTAGCTTTTTTTCTTTTCCTTGTATGTTTACATATTTTACTAAATGAAAAATAGTGCATGTTGATGTTTAAAGATATCCTGCAGGTACTTTGAAATTCCTTATCTCCACTAGAGTTTTATTTTGCTTTGGTCTTCCTCTAGTGAACAAAGTGAGTTGTGTAATCCCCAAGTGCCAACTCTGGCTAATACAGTGGAACCTTGGTTCTCAAAGTTAATTCTTTCAGAAAACCATTCAAAAAGTGATTTGTTTGAAAACTGAATCTCCTTTGTTTGGCACCTGAGAGACACGTGACTGATCATACAGGTGTCAGCAGGAAAGGGTTGTTGGGTAGAGAATTGAGACCCGAAATTCTGTTAGACAATGTTTTTCCCACAAACAACCTGGTTGAGAACCAAGGCACTTGAGAAACGAGGTTTGACTGTATTTTCCTGTGCACATGTTGAAAAATATCAGCCCTGGCTGGCGTAGCTCAGTGGATTGAGCGCGAGCCTGCGAACCAGAGTATCGCGGTTCGGTTCCCAGTCAGGGCACATGCCTGGGTTGCAGGCCAGTTCCCGGCAGGGGACACATGAGAGGCAACCACACATTGATGTTTCTCTCCCTCACTTTCTCCTTCCCTTCCCCTCTCTCGAAAAATAAATAAAGAAAATATAAAAAAAAAAGAAAAAAAACAAAAAAACTGTTTTTAAAAAAAAAAAAAAAGAAAAATATCTCTCCACAAAAGTAAACACCAGGGTGGGCAAAAGTAGGTTTGCAGTTCAGAAAAATAATACAGTAATTAATAAATAATATCAGAATAAACTGTGTTTCTCATGCAACTGTATACCTACTTTTGTCCCCTGCTGTGTGTCATTGGGGGTAATTTCTGGTCTGGCTAATAAGTAAAATGATGTGTCGATATGACGCTTAGATACAACACAGGGGAATTTGGTGGCACAGGAGTTCCTCGGGGTGGTTTACTAACAGTTGGTGCTGCTGAAATGACAGATGATCAGTAAGTGACGGTGTCACGTGTGGCTCTGAGTCACTCACACTGGGTTCAAACCCCAGCTCTGCCCCTCACCAGCTGTGACCTTGCTACTACAGTCTATTTAACTGCAATCAGTGGGGGGTGAATGTGCTATCAAAGGATTG